AAAAAAATTTACAGGAAGAAGAAAATAAAAAGACGCAAAAGTTGAATGACGTGTGTAGCATCTTTAGAAGCTCTACTTCAAAATAAAAGCATCAAAAAAATTAAATCACATTGMACAACTTCATTTCTTATTCTAGTAGAGAAAGTATTTGCTRTTTGTTGTTTGACTAACTCYAAACGGTATTTATGAAAATACAACCACCATCAAAGAATGGCTTTTATTCTGAAAGGGCTAAACTGGAAGTATCACAAGTTAGACGGAGCTATAGCTGGTTTGGATTGGCCAATTTGCCACGGATGATCCCGCCCTCCAGGTTTGCACGAGTCCTGCTAGTTTTAGCGTTTTATTTTTATTTTTATTGTGTTTAGTAGAGCTAAAATGCTTGCTTAACTTTTTGGTTAGCTGTGCCCATCATTGCTATTAGAGATGCATTTTATATCAATTGTCTGTGTATTTTTTTTGTTGTTAAATCCATGTATTTGGCTGAATTTGAAGCACTTTATTTAACACTGTTGTTTTTATGTGTTGTATAAATAAATCAACATTATGAACAGATCAGGACACACTTTTGTTTTGTTTTACTCTGCTGTAACGCTAGCTTCAGTGGTAAAAAGTCTACCTGCACCGTAACGTGGGGGCTGCTGTGCTTCGTCAGCTCGATCAGGTTGATGCTGTTGAACAGCAGGTTTTCCAGGCAGCCGTGGAAGTTCCCTTTAAAGACGGCTGTATTCTGGGCTGCTCCTACACTCATCTGTACACAAACAGAACATTAAAACGGATCGTCTGCGTCTGCTTTGACGCTGCGTTCGTGTCGGGGGTGGGGCACCTGCTTGACGGCCCAGAGGCTGAACTCCTCGGGGATCTGAACCGCCTCGGTGTGTTTGTCCACCGTCAGGTTCAGGTGGACGTTTCTCTGCTCCAGAGCGACGTGGTGCCAATGCTGATCATCCAGCAGGCTGCCGAGAGAGGCCAGCTCCCGGGGCTCGGAGGAGGTGCCTGAGCATGACGACAGGAGGACAGAGAGAAAAAAAATGTTAGTAATAACAGAGAAACAGTTGAAGATCAGCAGGAAATAAATGTGACAAATAGGAGGAAGAGGAGTGGGAAGGTGTCAGCAGATTAAAGTAGAAGGATGGATAGAAGGCAGGGAAAGCAAAGACAAATGGAGATAACTCTGTCAGAGGAGGGAAGAATGTTAAAAAACACTAATCAGATAAAAATGAAAAGTAGACTCAGTTTTAATCAGCACTGTTTTAATTTGAAAACTCTAATCTTTGACATAAAARAGGAAAAAACTGGAAGATAAAATGACATTTCCTCAGGAATCTGACGGCTTTATTCTGTGTGGAGTYGTTCCGATGATCCATAAATGCAGATTTCTCTTCGGGTAATGAGCTCCTCTGATCTGACAGCCGGCTGTTTGTTATCCGACCTGTAAGTTTGTTGTCTCCTCATTATCCGACCCGCTCGCCCCGCTGCTGCCCGACGCTCTGACCCGGTGTCAGGCCGACGTCGTCCTGAAGACAGCCGCGGCGYGTCGGACTCTTTTTCTCGGCCTCCTGCGGGGAGGGAGGGTCACCCCGAGGTGACCCGCCGTCGTCTCATTAAGAACCACTAAGTAGATCTGTGACGCCCGTACAGGAGAACTGAATGTGAGAAAATAAAAGACTACGAAGGAAACACGGTGAGACATCATTAATGATAAATGAGCACCAGCCGGTCCTAATAAGTGGATYGTCACTCGGGATGCGTGAGGAACTTTGTGTTTCTGCAGACGGATGAAAATGGAGAAAGCGCACATTAAAAATGCATCGTGTGTTCCCCAGGGACCTCGCAGAGGAAGAGACAAACTCGCAGTTTTTGAGGATGATGGACAAATGTAGCTTTGATAATTCGACTCATTCCAGGAGAGGAAAGATTTTTCTGTAGATAACAGCTTCATCCAGGCAGAGGGAACWGTAATACTCTCCTCATGAAGCAGASGAAGTCTGTTCTGATGATTCATTTGTTTCTGGTTACAGATGAGATCAATACGACTTCAGAACAAACATCTCTTTAACGGCACTGATTAATGGACCRTGATGGATTTATGAGTCAATAAAATGGATGATGTAATTATGACATAAGTGAGATGTTAAAGATTAAAACAACAGAACTTCTTCCCACAGGTGCTTATTTAAGCTTGTCTGTTTCTTTTCAGTCATTTTGCTCAATTTATACTTGAAATCAGAAACGTTTATTTGATTTTAGATGGATCAAGCTGTGAGTTTTGACAGTAAAGTTCGACATGGATGAGTAAATAAAACATAAAACAGAAATATGGCGTCTACTCTGAAAGGTGGACGTGTTAGCAAAATAACTCATGAACCACGAGTTTAATGAAGCGGGGCTGGGCCCAGTTCTGCTAATCCGCTAACAACAAAACTAGCTTCTCACTTAGATGATTAGCTTTTCTGCTAACTTGGAAACGATTAGCAGACCGATTAGCTTCCAATAAATTAGGTTCAGTTAATTTTAAGTCCACTAAATTAAAGTAAAACTTATATTTTTTTGCATTTATCCTGAATTATATAAAAACTATCTCCTTTTACAAGCAATTCTGTCTGTATGGCACCGCGTGTGTAGCATGTAGCATCTTCAGTAGCTACACTTTAAACCAAGAGCAAAAATAAAATCAAATATAATCTAACAAATTTTAAATAATAAAACTTTTTGGTTAGCTGTGCCCACCACTGATATGAAGCCAATTGAAGCCAGCTGACTTTAAAAAGCACAAAAATTAACTATAATTGAGTCGGTTTTACAATTAGGCTAAAACGTAGCACCTACGTGGAGCGCTAACAAATCAGTTTAATCATAGTTTAAAGCTAGGCTTTTAATTTAAGTCTGTCTTTTTAAGTAATGTCCTCTTTCAAAGAGAACAGCTTAGATTTGCTCAGAAGTAAAATGGAAATGATTTGATTCTGAATGTGCCRATTAAATCTGAAGAACTTGCTGGTTTATTTATTCCACAAGACAGGAAGACGTTTACAGCTTCATCTTTTATTTTCAGATTCAAATGAAGTAAATGTTGCTTTCAAAATGGTCTTTTTCCAAACAAATAGTGTCAAAGTGAGAGAAAATGAAGAGAAGTATTTCATTAACCTGACTAATGTGAATGACAACAACACGAAAGTAAAAACATTTCTTCTTTCTTCTCCACAGCGGTTTCTGGTTTGTTTCTGCCATTTGAAGCCCGAACCTTCAAACTGTGACACAAACAAATCAATAATGACTCAGCCAGGCGTGATAAAAACTTAAACTTTTACAGAAAATATCTACAAGTTTGCAAGAAAAAACAAAAATAAAAGCTGTTTGTGATGAAAAAATAAAAAAAGCCATTACAGAACAGAAGTGGAACAACAAACTCTTCACTTATGCTTCTAAGAAATCAGCTCAGAAGCTTTTAATGTGTGTTCTGTTTTTTTCCCCTCTCATGAAAGATTATGTTGCTTGTTCTGGGCGGTTGCTCTGTGTTGCCTCATAAAGTGACTCAGATCTAAAGTGAGGTGGAGGTGTGGGGTGTGGGGAGGGGAGTATCAGACCTGGATGTGTTGCATGCGGGAGCTGAAGGTCTGCAGGCAGAGCAGATGACCTAAAAACATCAAAAGTGCAGCGCAGAAAAATAAAGATGGGAATAAATCTGTGGCAGAAGAAATAGTTTTAACTCAGCCAAATCAAAATAGTCATTAGTTGCAGTCTTAATCTTCTTGAAGGGCTTGTTAATCAGTTGTACATCTAGTTGCGCAGTTACTAAAGCACTAGTCAATTCATTTATGTCCACAAGTTCAAAAGCGCATATGCTCAATAAAACTTTGCAGAAGCTAAAGTTAAAGCACAAGATTATCTCCATCTCCCAGGTAACATTCAGATATGAGACAAGTCGCATTTTACTGCCATCTAGTGGAAAGACCATTTTCTTTCACAGATTGGCTGATGTCGTCACAGTTTGGGGAGGTGATTTGGTGAAACAGACCTTTGAATCATGGTTGTAAAACAAAAAATAGTTGTTGATTGCTAGTTCTGCTGCTTCTTGGTCATTTTCTTATGTTTACGGCAGGAATTCGGTAAGAAAACATGCAGATATATTAGTAATTTTAAACTGTTTGTTGTAAAACTGAAGCAATGCACTCTGGGTAGGCTACAGGACGAAGGACAGGAAACCGTTCTTTTCAAAATAAGAGCGTGAATTTCAACTTTTATTTATTATTTATGTATTTATTTATTTATTGCCGCAGTATCCCTCGGACAGGATCGGTACAAACTGCACAGCTGAGTGTGGTTCAGCAGATCAAAACAGCAGGTGGATCGTTGCCCAGTGAAGAAGCTCCAATTGTTTCCTGCCACGCAAAGAACTGTGGGAACTCTACTAAATTAAAACCTTCATCCAGAAGGACAGTAAGTCAGAGTATGAAGCTCTGTGAACACAATGCAGACTGAGGGGTCACTGTTTCCACAAGGTGGAGCTCCATTGTGTTAAAAGAGATGGCTGTCCCCTCCAATGTTCAAGATAATGACGACAAAGTTTTAATGAATTGTGTGGCTATTTCACTGAGTACTTTCATCCTTTATTCACRTGTTTCTGCCTTTGTCRAATAAATATTTCCATGACACTACAAATCATAGTGAGTTGAGACAGCTCTTTCCCTTTATTTTAGACRAAATAGACAATCAAATGTTAAACATTATTTGCAATTAGTGCTATTCATTTCTAAATTTAGAACGCACAAATCCGCACATCACTTTAAGAAATTGTTAAAACCCCCAAAGCGCAAAAGAGAAATTTAGGTTCGTAATTAGCGCTTTTGTTTAGGGGACTAGTGCCCACCACTGTGTACAGCCAAWGACTACTTTCTGCAAGTACCGTTAAAATCTATCCATCCATCTGCTAACCGCCTCAGTGCACTCTGAAAGTCTCGGCTTGAAGACGCCAACAGAACCACATCATCTGCATAAAACAAAACCCTGTGGTTCCCAAACCAGACCCCCTCCTCTTTTTGAAATCCTGTCCATAAACACTGCAAACAAGACTAGAGACAAAAGACGGCCCTGGCGGAGTCAAAACTGCAAAAATCTATCCAGTGGTTAAAGAGATATTGTGCTAACAGACACCAAAGCAGCTAAAGTTCAAAGAAAAGGTTTGAAACAGCTTCAGCCAAAAGAACCAGTGATCTGGACCACTTTAAAGACTTCTAAGAACATCTGTTGCTTTTAAAGTCAAATATAAAAAAATGAAGGATGACTCAAAACTTTTGCACAGATTTATATTAATGTAAACCAGGTGAATTCTAAAAAATGGCTCCTTTTGCTCGTTTTCTTTRTTCAACCTCCTAAAAGTTTATATTTTGTCTTTCTTCCTACTTCCATTTTCTAATCGGTGCTCTTCATCTCATCTCCTTTCATCTCTCCTCTTTTATTTCCCCATCACCTTTCCTGCCTTTTTATTCGTCCGTCGTCCACCTCTCGTTCCTCTGTGACCTCCTGACTGCGGTTCTGTTTAAACAGGAGATTATAGAGTCCCTGAAGAAAATAACATTTTTAAAACAAAGGTTCTGACACTATGTGTGCCCTACAGCACTTATTGTCTGGATCACCTCTCATCTCCTGGACTYGTGTCACCTTTAAAACAAAATGACCCGAGGACATATTCTTCTTCTTGTTTTTTTTTTGTGGGAAAAGCTCTGCCGCTGCAACATGTGGATCACCTTGAAAACCTGTCCAATTACGAAGATGAACTGCATGTCCTTGAAATAAAAAGAGTTATAGCAAAGACTAGATTAGATTACGACCATTTATTATACTTTCAGAGTTTTTGGGACCAGCTACAAATCTTTTAAAACATTCCTCAGACAAGAGTAACTTCGTTTTTATGGCGCGGTATTAGAGCCAAACTAAAGACTATTGCACACCCAGCRGTGGCTACATCCTTGTAGCAGGTTATATCTATTCTAAAACCACCTGATGTGATTAATGATAATCCACTAACTGAGACAGACTGCTTAAATGCCCTAGCATCGAGAGGCTAGTGACTAGCATGTATCATTGGATTACCTACTCCCTCTGCTGTCCATTAGCACTAGCTTTAGCGTCATAAACGCTGGCTTTACCTTTGATAGATTGGCTTTAACATTGAATAGGCATGCATTGATAGGCTAGCTTTAGCATAATAAAGGCTGGCTTTAGCATTGATAGGCTAGCTTTAGCATTGATAGGTTGGCTTTACCATTGGACAGGCTGGCTTTAGCATTTGAGAAGAATATTATGAGAAAGAAAGAACATTATAAGAAATCCTACACAAAAAGCAGTCTTTACATGGTGTTAAAATGCAGAATGTTGAACATCTTGTGAAGCTATACTTTGGTATTGGTTTTACAAATAAGGAAATAGTTAATCTTTTAACACATTAGCTGCTGTTTGGCCGAGCTGGTCACGTCCGATCTTGATAACTCTGTTTAAGCTTTTTTCTCATTAAAATGACTTTAATGTTTAAATTTGACTTCTGGTAATATGACCTTTAGATCTTTATTCTCATAATGTTGCACTTCACTCTTCTCCAGAAAACCTGATTAAAGCCATATTTCAGGATAACAAGAAAGAAATCTGCAGTGGTTTAAAACTTTTGCACAGTGCCATACGGACACATAAACCTCCTCTGACATAAAAACCCAGAACAGACTGTGAGCCTCGCAGAGTCCCACTCCAACACATGCTGCAGTGAACGAGGTCCATCCATCACGATGGTAATGAGCCAACAGGGAGCCGGGATTAACCAATCAGCTGCCAGCTCGTGTCCCGGCTGTCGAATCAGGCGTCACGACTGTTCTGATCCGAATTATGAGTTAAACCGTAAACAGGATCGACGTGTCTTTGCTCAGCCGGTCAGTTTTGTTGGTATTTTTTAAAATAAAATCATTATTTTCCTGATGAGGTGTTGCATAAATTAATGACTGATTCCAATTTTTAAAACAAACTGTTTTAATTTATTAAAACTCTAAAGAAGCATTTCAGAAAACAACCAGCAGGTTTTTAGTCTTGAGTCTATTTCTGGCTAGTTGTTGGTTTTTAAGGTTTAGTTTCCAACCAGCGCAGGAAGTCCGGCTGCTAATTGGAGTCCCGTGGTTTCAAATCGTCCAATCTCCACTGAGAGGCGAGAATGAAACGAGCACACCTGAGGAGCTGTGATCCCCTTCGCTGCTTCCTGTGAGCTGCTGATGAGGCGCTTTCAGCTCAGAATGCACAGGTACGAAACCTGCCTCCACACACAGCGCCTCCTGTTATAAGATGCTTCGATACGAGGATTTTTCATTTATTTTAACATCTAACCTTGTTCCAGAGTGAAGTTGTGGGGGCAGCAGTTTGAGCATGTACACTAGGTGGGCAAACTCCCATGACCCCTTGAGGACCCTAGTGGTCCAGTTCCACAGTTAGGACAGAACCCACATTGTTCCTCCTGAATCTAAGGTCCGACCATCGATCGCACTCTTCTCCAGCTCCCCTGAATAAACTGGGGAGGCTAAGAAGAGTTAACGTTTTAGTAAAAATCTTGTATTTATTATAAATGCTAAGGCATTTAAGCAGTCTGACTCAGTTACTGGATTATCATTAATCACATCAGGTGGTTCTGACATTAAAATGTACTTAGATTTTTTTTTWAAATTATGAGAAAAATGTCCTAATCTTACATGACATGCCCATTTTCTATTTCTAATTTTTTACTAATTTCTTCATCATTTTCCTCACAGCTGCTGTGAACAGCCATGCGTGTCTCTGTGTTTATAAAGTAGTCCGCAATGACTTTTGGGTCACTGTTAGTGTAATATAATTTCATCCAAATTACGTGACGACTAAATATGAAAAGGCAGCCATTAATTGCTTCAGTTTATAGTCATTTACACAATCATTTCAAAGCCCTGCTACTAACGCTAATGTGCTAAAAGATTTTAACTTTTAAATGATACTAAAAACAACTTCACAAGTTGCTCAAAATTCCTCATTTTATTGCAGTGGTAAGACTGCGGTTACGTGTAAAGGTTATATTATGACTTTATGTCGCAATATTATGACTTTATTATTTTAATTAAAAAC